GTTTCACATTTAAGTCTTTGATCCATCTGGAGTTAGTTTTTGTGTATGGTGTGAGGTACAGATCTTGTTTAATTTTTCTGCAAATGGATATCCAGTTTTGTCAGCACCATTTGTTAAACAGACAATTTCTTCTCTATTTAATGGATTTCAGCCTTTTGTCAAAGATCAGCTGACTGTAGGTCAATGGATCTATTTCTGGGTTCTCAATTCTATTCTACTGGTCTATGTGTCTGTCGTTGTACCAATACCAGGCAGTTTTGACTACTGTGGCTGTATAGTAGGTTTTGAGATCCAGCAGTGTGAGACCTCCTAGTTTGTTCTTCTTCTTCAATGGTGCTTTGCTTATCAGAGGTCTCTTTCCTTTCCATATAAAGTTAGTGATTGGTTTTTCTGTATCCTTAAAGAATCATCTATATATTTTTTCCTTCTTAAAACATATTTACTTTGTTTCCAGTTTAGCTATCATGACATAAGTTTAATGATTTTGGCTGTGACTGTCTTTAACCAGAAATTGCTTTAGTCATACTAACTTACTGATAATGAAAGCCTTGGAATGTTTATACAACACTAGAAAGTAGCAAAATCATAATTGCCTTCTACATTCCAACTACTATTCAAGAACTTTCATTAATTTATCAACATTACAGTGCTTTCTGTTGTCAGGCACTGTGCTGAAAGCTTAATGTATAAAATCAAACAAAACATTATTCCTGTGTTATTTAACATTTCTATACTATTTTAAAGGGATAGATAGGCATAAATAAACATAGAGATGAAATGTGTGTTTGACAGATGAGAGTAGGACTTAATTAACTTGCTCAGAGTAATGCAGCTTCCGGATAACTGAGCCAGCATTCAAATACTGGTCTGTCTGATGTCAAAAACCATGCTGTTTCTATTATACCAACTAGTCTCTCTTTTAAGAATAGAGAAAATTACTGATATTATGCAAACAAATTCTTATTTTACATTGTGATATTAATGACTTTTAATTTCATGCACATTTTATGTTTTAAGCCTGACAGAGAAAATCAAGATTTCTTGTTTGATAGAATTTCAGAAAGTTATGTGGCGCTTTTCATGAGCATTCCAGTAGGTCGAAAAGATGCATTCTTGCAGGTAAACATACAGAAGTTAATGTATTACACTAATTATTTTAGAGTGGATGAAATAGATGTTTGATTTAAAACATGTATGAAGTTATATTTGGGTTTTTTTAAAAGTAAAATTGTCTGAAATAGAATAAGTAATGGTAATATTTAAAAAGCTATGCTTCTCCCCTGCCTTCAGAATATTCTTTTTTTCTAAAACCCACTGCTATTGAGTAGATTTAGACTCAGAGCAACCCTTTCGGACGGAGTAGAACTGCCTCGTAGGATTTCCAAGGCTGTAATCTTTACAGAAGCAGAATACCTCAACTTTCTCCCACAAAGCTGCTGGTGGGTTTGAACTGCCAAGCTTTGAGTGAACAGCCCAGTGTTTAACCACTACACCACCAGACCTCCTTTATCTTAAAGTATTACAGAATTTCCTTAGTGATATAAGTATTTTATTTGCATGTTATTCATTTGATCACTATTGACTTATTTTATGTAGATTCTTGTCTCTTTTCTTTATCTTTCTATAAAATCATTTATCATATTTTCTTTTCCTTTATAATGTATGTTTTGATTTAAGTGAATTTAACAAGTTTATGTAATGCTTAATGACTAAGTACCTGTTGCAGGAGGGGAACAATGGGCACATTTTTTAATCAAATGTTTCTTTTACTTTTCTCTTGTTATGGTAACTAATGAATGTTGTTGTTGTTAATGTGCTACCGAGTCAGACCCGATTCATAGCGACTCCCCGTTGGGTTTCCGAGGCAGTATCACTATGGAAGTAGATTGCCCCATCTTCCTTCCAAGGAGTGGCTGGTGGATTTGAACTGCCAGCCTTCTAGTTGGCAGCCAAGTGCCTTAAGCACTATACTACCAGAGCTCCCAACTAATGAATAGCGTTGCTTAAAATAATGTTCTTGAGTAATGTGAAATGACAATGTGTAGAAATTACACTGAGTATTTTTAAATTTAAACATCTAACATTTCAAAGCAGAAACCACATTCCAATAGTTTATTGCATTCGCTTTTGTAAATCAGAAATACATAAGTATTTTGGAATTGGTAAATGTTTTCATGGATAAAATAAAACTAAAACAGTTAAATGTCTTTCACAATGAGAATATAAACAAACCTAAATTAGCAAATTTACCAGTTATTTCTGCTCATGTTTTACCTATTTTACTTGCTCACAAACATGTATCTAAAAATGAGGTAGAGGGTAAACAGTAGTGGACTGGGAATAAAGAAACTGGGCTTCCTAACTGGAATCTGTTACCTGGCTAATCTTGGCAAATCATTTAAACTCTCAGGTTCCCAGCTGGACTCTGTCAATTGAAGAAGTTAGATTAATTGGTGATTCATAAATTGATGTCTTGTGGAACAGTGATATTCTGAGAGAGAGACTAAATTTTTCTGCTGCCAATACTGAAATTGTTTAATGATTAGGAGTTTTGCAATTGACTGCTAACCAGATGGATGGCGGTTCAAACCCACTAGCCACTCCTTGGAAGGAACACTGGGCAATCTACTTCTGTAGAGATACCGCCTTGGAAACCCAAGGAGGGGTGGCTATGAGTCGGAATCGACTGGATGGCAGTGAGTTAGGTTTTTTTGGAGACGTGATAAAACTGGCTAGACAAACGTCTTATCATATTCATTCAAGTAGTCTATCCTTTGGTGGTATTTATATTAATATATTTTTACTGAATATGCCTAGCATCCCTAAATGATGTGATGATACCAAGAATGCTTTAACATGCGCACTTAAGGATAAGAGGCCTATTTAGTGTGGACACGGAAAGGAGTCATGACATCATTCTGCATCTCCCATTCTGAAATTTCTGGTGCCAAGGCAGCGTATTTTCATGGCCCAAATGATGATTTGACTATTTCTGGACCCCTGTTTTTAGTACTGTTTCCAGGAAAAAATTAGAAGTGGTTGAATCAATATTCAAATTTTCATTTGCAAATAAGCAAGATGTACACCTTAGTGTTTTGACCTCTTAACCTATGTTCAATCCTCTTTTAATGCTCTGTTTTTGCTTCTATGCATCAGAATGAGGCCACCTCCCAGTAGGTCTGCCACCTTCAGAGCTATTTAAGTAGAAGTGGAGCTTAATTTCTCATTGATCAATTTCCATTCTTTTTAACTCATTGAAATAAGTAGATGCTTATTTGCCATGGGCTCATCTGATTTATCTTACCTAAGGAAGACTCTGGTAGCATAGTGGCTAAGGCACTTGACTGCTAACCAGAAGGCTGGCGGTTCAAACCCACCAGCCACTCCTCGGAAGGAAGGTTGGGCATTCCTACTTCCGTAGTGATACTGCCTCGGAAACCCAAGGAGGGGTCGCTATGAGTCGGGGCCGACTCGATGGCAAACAACAACAACAAGGAAGACAAATCTATTAATATTTAAGAATAAAAAAACAATAATCAGATCCTACTAATCAGTACAATTAATATGAATCTAAGCATATTTAGTATGACTTACTTCTCTTTCTCTCAATATCATAACATGATATTCCTTTAGAATATTTGCAAACACGGTCTAACACTTGATCTGCTTGTACCTTAGTCTCCTGAAGGTATACTTCACAAAAAAACTTTTAGAAGGTCCTGTTATTCATCTTGTTCAGTATTTTAATTTTAATCCGCACTAAGATTTTATATACTAGAAATGTAGTGTGTGATAATTTCTGGTAGTAAAGATGTTCATGTCGTTGTTAGATGCCATTGAGTTGGCTCTGACTCATAGCAACCCTGTGTACAACAGAATGAAACACTGCCCAGTCCTAGACCATCCTCACAACCGTTGCTCTGCTTGAGCCCATTGTTGCAGCCACTGTGTCAATCCATCTTGTTGAGGGTCTTCCCCTTTTTCACTAACCTTCCACTTTACCCAGCATGATATCCTTCTCCAGCAAAGTATGAGAGACAAAGTCTGGCCATTCTCACTTTTAAAAAACATTTTGGCTGTACTTCCTCCAAGACATATTTGTTCATTCTTCTAGCAGTCCGTGGTACCTTCAATAATCTTCACCAACACCACAATTCAAAAGCATTAATTCTTCTGTAGTCTTCCTTATTCACTGTCCAGCTCTCACATGCATATGAAACTATTGAAAATACCATGGCTTGGGTCAGTCATACCTTAGTATTCCAAGGGGCATCTTTGCTTTTAAACATTCTACAGAGTTCCTTTGCAGCAGATTTGCCCAATGCAATACATCACTTGATTTCTTGACTACTGCTTCCATGGGCATTGGTTGTGGATCCAAGTAAAGTGAAATCCTTGACAACTTCGATCTCTTTTCCATTTATTATGATGTTGCTTATTTGTCCACTTGCGAGGATTTTTGTTTTCTTTATGTTGAGATGTAGTCCATGCTGAAGGCTGTAGTCTTTGATCTTCAACAGCAAGTGCTTCGAGTTTTCTTCATTTTCAGCAAGATTGGTTGTGTCATCTGCATATTGCAGGTTGTTCATGAATCTTCCTCCAATCCTGATGCCACAATCCTCTTCATATAATCTGGCTTCTCTCAGCATACAGATTGAATAAGTATTGCGAAACGATACAACCATGATGCACACCCTTGCTGATTTTAAACCATGCAGTATTCCCTCATTCTGTTTCAATGACTTCCTATTGGTATATGTACAAGTTCCTCGTGAGCACAATTAAGTATTCGGGAATTCCCATCCTTCACAATGTTATCCATAATTTGTTAGGATCCACGCAATCAAAGACCTTTGCGTAGTCAATAAAACACAGGTGAATATCTTTCTGGTATTCTTTGCTTTCAGCCAAGATCCATCATATGTCAGCAATGATGTCTCTTGTTCTACATCCTCTTCTGAATTGGGCTTGATTAGATGACTGTATTAGTTTCCTATTGTTGCTATAACAAATTATGACAAAGTTAGTGGCTTAAATGACAGAAATTTATTCTCCTACAGTTCTGGATGCCATAATTCAAAAATAAATTTATGAAGCTAAAATCAAGATGTTGGCAGGCCTGGTTTATTCTGGTGGAGGCTCCAGGGAAATTCTGTTCTTTTCCACTTCCAGATTCTGGTGGCTGCCAGCATGCCCTGCCTTGTGGCTGCATCACTGCCACGTCTGCTTCTGTCATCACATTGCTTTCTCTTCTGTAATCAAATTTCCCTCAGGTTTCCTCTTATAGGGACATTTGTGATTACAGTTAGGGACCATCAAATAATAAAGGATAATCTCTTCATCTCAAGATATTTAATTTAATCACATCTGCAAAGTGTGCCACATAAAGTAATATTCACAGGTTCCAGGTATTAGGATGTATATATCTTTAGGGACAATTATTATGTCTGCCACAATGACCTCTGAGGTCCTTTCTAATTCTAAAATTTTACATTATTTAGAGCTTAGATTGTGGTTATATATCAGAATCCAGAGTACCAAAACAATGAATATAAATTGTTAAAATGATTTACTATAAAAATATTATATCTTTCTGTTTAAAGTCACTCCCTGAGAGAAATTTAGTAGTTTAGGGATTTTAAGGCTAATGTACTATTGCCACTGCCATAAATTTGTTAATATTCATGGTTTTAATATTTAAATAATATAGTATTCATTACAATATATACAATAATTCACCTAAACAAGCTTCAGTTATTAAAAAATGCTTTTACTTGTAATGATTCATATATATCATTTTCTAAAAAAAAAATAAGAATTGCAAGGCTAAATGAAATAATGGATAATAGTAAAACCTTAATTGTTAACTTCATCCTTTACCCAAATTAAAATTTCCCCAAAATGCTAACAGATAACCAAATTGACTGACTTGAGTTTTAACCTCTTCTTTGTTCATATCCCTTAAGTAGCAATATAAAGAAGTAATACAATGGTCAAAAGCAAGCTACAAAAGAGGCAGGTATATGTTACAACCTAAAAGATTATTTATTTGGTAGGTGAAATATGTTAAATCAAATATAAAGCAATTCTAATGTGACTTTAATTTTGGTAGGTGTATCCTGATTGTTTGGCACAAGCTATCTATGCAACATTTCAGGAGGCATTTCCAGAATCCAGTAACCTCTTTAATGATGAATTTAAAGAAGATCTAGGGACTAACATTTATCTTTGGTTGTCAGGTATGATTATTTGCTTTAAATACTGGTCATTATTTTAGTTCTCTAAAACTTTTGAATTGCATTATTTTGTTTTGAATAGGCAACAAAAATTTGTTAAGTTTATTGCTTTATAAAACACGTCAAAGTCTATGTTTTAAAAAAAATTATAACTATTTTTTACTGAAAATTTTGTTATGCCAAAATAAATATTTAATTTTATAACACTTCCATAACTCTAAAGCCAAATAATTTCATAGACACTGCAATTATTGTAGAAAATTGAATTGCCAGAGGATAGCCTATCATATATATTTGGAAGATACATATTTTAAGCTGCTTTTGAAATGCTATTTATTTTTATAGCAAATAATATTGGGTGGATTGAATTCTAGAGTTAACTGATTTCCTCATAAAATATACAATTAATCAAAGAAAAAAATCGTTTTTTTTTTATTGTGTGTGTGGAAAAAGGACAGGTAAGGCTGAAAGGCGGAAGGAAAATAAAATTCTGTGCTATAGCACTTAGCTAGAGATTTAGATGTTGTTATTGTTGTTGCATGCTGTCGAGTTGATTCTGACTAATAGTGACTCTGTAGGATAAAGTAGAACTGACTCACAGGGTTTCTTGGATGTAATCTCTACAGAAGCAAATCATCAGTTTTCCCATGGAACCAGTGGATGGGTTTGAATCACCCACCTTTTGGTTAGGAGGCAAACATTTAACTTTAAGGTATAGTGATATACTTTCACATTCCTGTAATGAATGAAGACAGTTACATTAGTATGGACTACCAAAAGCTAATGAGTGTTTTAAAGTAATTCTTCTTCTAAATCCTTCAGTCTACATGTTGACTGATTTTGAAACTATTCTGTGTGAATTCTTAATAACCAAACCATTTCTGAAATGAAATATTTCATATTTTAAGGAGAGAGGCTTTGAATGGAAAAGACTGAAAAACAGCTATGAGAAAACATCCCCTTATACACATGTGTGCAAACACATACACAAGAATCTAATTCAACTATAAGAAACAAAAAGTGAATAAGTCCAACATTTGTACAGACACTATAAGAAAAAGATGTGATAAAAAGCCAAAAACTTTGCTGCACATCATACCTAATTTTCATATATTATGTGAGGAATGAGTTCAAGTTAATTCTTTCACAGTGGAAGATCCAGCTGTCCCAGCACAATTTACTGAAGAAGCTGTTTTATCTTCATTGGACAGACTTAGCACCCTTGTCAAAACTCAGTTGACTATGGAATGTATATGTTTTCTTTCTAGACTCAATTCTATTCCATTGATCTAGGGGTCTATCATTATACCAGTACTAGACAGTTTTGATTACTATAGCTTTATAGTATGTTTTGAAACTGAGAATGTAAATCCTCCAAATTTGTTCTTCTTTTTCAAGATTGTTTTGGCTATTTCATGTTCCTTGCAATCGCATAGAATTTTAGAAACATCTTGTCACTTTCTACAAGGAAGCCAGCTGTGAAAAACACAGTAATAGAGATTAAGAATGCCTTGATTAATTCATCAAATAGACTTCACATAGCCAAAGAAAGAATCCATTAGCTTGAAGATAGAGCAATAGAAATTTTCCAAACTGAAGCAAACATACACAGGGCATTTGAAAACTATGGAACAACATCAAACAATCACACATGTATGTAATTGAACCAAAAAGGAGACAAACATAACCAGTAATGCACAAATAGCAAAAGATAAACTAGATGACTGGGACCTTGCTAACAACTGACACCAACTATAAAAACGGCAAGGAGGCCACATGTTCTGACCTCCTCTAATCTCATAGGAGGAAGACAGCAGTAACCCAAGGCCTATTACTGCAAGGCCAAACATGCTGCC